GCAGTTAGCTAAACTGTGGTTTCTTTTACCAATACAACATGGAAAGTATGTATATAACAACAGTTAAACGGTGACATTGCTTGATTCTACCATAGTGACAACAGTTTAATAGACATAATGAGCGGTCTACAACTTTATTTTGGGTATAAAACACCTTATTTCTCTATTTGTGGGCTCACATCCAGAATAAACCTTTTAAAAAATTGGCACCCCTGCTGTGTATACAATAGTCAATGTAAAATACTTAGTATTGAAAAAAAAAAGTCATAATGACTGTGGCAGTCCTATTTAGTATTCCTTTAATAAATAGTTTTACTATAAGATATATAAATAAATCAAAATGTTTTTAAAATAACATTTTTATTGCTAAATAAATGTGTTAAACACAACTCATATAAATTGCTATTGATTACTCTGCACTATTCATACATACAAACACATTAGCAAAAAAAACCAAAACAATGTAAACTAAAAAAAAAAAATAGTAGAATTGTATAAAGTGCAATGTAAATAGTTTACAAAAGTAAATCTTTTACTTATGTAGTATATTTTATGACTTTAACAAGAATATATAAGGTTCCTATAATAAAATGTGCCAAGAAAAGTGTCCCATTAATCTTAATATTGCCTTATTTTAAATCCTGGAAAAGACTAAACTCCTTCTTTCAACTGTAGCAAAGAACACAATTTTTCAAATGCACAGCAAATACAATCACGTACAAAAAATGTATAATTTTACTTTTAAAAAATTGCAGAAAAAGAGACCACAAACACTCTTGTATGGCACACTCATAAATTCAGAGCAGGCACAGATAAAAATGATAGCTAAGCTGGGTATCTTGGTATATTTGTTTATTACAGGCGCTTAATTAGCAAGGGCAATTTACGTCTATATTGTACATTCACATCAGTCCCTGCTTTCCAGGAGCTTACATTCTAAGGTCCCTAACTCACATTCATACGCATACTAGGGCCAGTTTTAGACAGGAGCCAATTAGCCTACCAGTGAGAGAGATTTACTTAAACTGGTGCACACGGAGGGGTTGATTTACTAAAACTGGAGAGTGCAAAATCTGGTGCAGCTGTTCATGGTAGACAATCAGCTTCTAAGGCCGGCCATACATTAGTCGAAAATCGACCGATTTTTCATCCAAAAATCAGACCTAAGAAAAATCAGCCGATTTTTGCTCTGTTAGTGGGTCAATGGCAACGGCCGATTTTCATGGTTCCTCCCCTTTTCGGTGATCGGGCATGTTGGAAAATTCGTGAATAACGACCGATTTTCGACTCAATGATGGTCAAATCGTACGTTCATTTTTCTGAAAAGAATATGTGCATGAGCAGTGACCTGGAAGGAATAGAAGTTTTGCATGTTATAGGGGGTGAACTTTATGACTTGGTCGGCCGATTTTCGAAATCAATGATGGCACCATCGGATTACCGAGCGAACTATGTTTCCGATTTTCGGACGAAAAATCATTCGGAATTCGAACCATGTGTGGTCTGCATAACTTCAACTTGTTCAATTAAATTTTGACAATAAAACCTGGAAACCAATTGGTTTCTATGCAGAGCTGTCCCAGATTTTGAGTGCTCCAGTTTTAGTAACTCTCCCCTAGTATGTATTTGGAGTATGGGAAGAAACCAACGCAAGTACAAGGAGAACATCAAAACTCAATGCCATGGTTGAGACTGAAAGCAACAACCCTAGTGCTGCTAGGTGGACTATCCACTTAGCCACTGTGCTTCCCATGTTATCCTGATATTGCGTAACCTTGAAGCATGAAAAGTGTTCAGTACTAATGTATCTTCAGGTCTAGATCCTCTGTTTTATCCAGAACTCAGCAACTGAGTGTGCAAAAGTGCTAACAAATCTATACAGATCCTTTGGTCATAGATACGGGTCCTACTGTATATCCAAATGTTTTTTTTGTGTTTGGGCTAAAAATGAAGTAGGAAGATAATGGTCCTGTTTGTGACATATGAATAAATATATGAACTTGTAGGGGGTTATGTGGCTGCCATCACTTAGCTAAGTGCTTTGACAATTGGAGGACCTTTAACAATAGGGAACCAGCTTTTGGCAAACTGAAAAAAAAAACTGTTTAGATTTTTGTTACCACTTCAGTTCAATTCCTGTCTATGTATCAACAGCATTCAGCACTATTGACATACAAAAATATATTTTATGCAAAGTAGGACAAATGTTTACATTTTGGAGCTGCCTCATTCTTCTGTCCAACATTCTAGACAGGCAGGTCGAGAAACATGGGAACTAACGCTCAGACCTGCCTTTTTTTGCACCAATCGAAAGAACAGAAGTTTTTGAACAAGATAGGATACATAAAACCGAACAATTAAAATATTTTAGCTGCCTTCTTTTTGCTGCAAACCCTTCAAATAGTTGCAGCTACTTCTGCTCCTTTTTGACTTGCATATGTAGTCCTTTTCAATACATTTACATGATGAAGAGATTATTCTTCGAAAACGTGTCACCTGGATTGTCACTCCACAGTAATCTAAAAGTAAAAGGGACACAGCCTGGAACTGTGTTGGGTCATACTGTCTGTGTCAGTCCACTGCTGCTGTTTGAAAAAGCCTGAGCATTCTGTAGTCTACCCTGGCCACAGTTTATAGGGGTCTTCTGGACTGGATCTAGGCTGAAGATGAACGATTGTTGTTTTTCTGCCCTGTGAGTGCATTTTTATTGCTTTTATGTTGACAATAAAACTACTATACTATTATTCAGGCCCGGACTGGGACAAAAAATTGCCCGGGCATTTTAGACTGAGCAACCAATTTTTCTGGGGGGGGGGGGGGGGTGCAAGGGCGTTCACTGGGGCAGTTGGTGACAGAATATTCATATTCACGCTCCTCTTTACTGTAACGTAAAGGAGCATGGTGATATAAAGAGGACTGCACTGTAAAGGGGCATAGTAAAGAGACAGCCAAGTGCAGCAAAGAGACATCCCCATTTAGCAAAGAGACATCCCAATCCACAAAGAGACATCCCAATGCACAAAGAGACAGGATGTCCCTTCTTGGACTGGGCTATCTCTTTGCTGGACCCAACTGAGCAAAGAAACAGCCCAGACCAGCAAAGAGACATCCCCATCCAGCAAATAGACAGCCCAATCCAGAAAAGAGACGTTCCTGTCCAGCAAAGAGACATCCCAACCAGCAAAGAGACATCCCATCCAGCAAAGAGACAGCCTGTCCAGCAAACAGACAGCCCATCCAGCAAAGATACAACTCATCCAGCAGAGGCATACTGTCCAGCAAAGAGACATCCCCATTTAGCAAAGAGACATCCCAATCCACAGACATACAAATCCACAAAGAAACAGGATGTCTCTTTACTAGATGGGGATGTCCCTTCTTGGACTGGGCTGTCTCTTTGCTGGACCCAACTGAGCAAAGAAACAGCCCCAATCAGCAAAGAGACATCCCATCCAGCAAAGAGACAGCCTGTCCAGAAAACAGACAGCCCATTTTGCAAAGATATAACTCATCCAGCAAAGAGACAGCCCATCCAGCAAAGAGGCAGATCATCCAGCAAAGAGACATCCTGCCCAGAAAAGAGACAGCCTGTCCAGCGAAGAGACACCTCCGTCCTGCAAAGAGACATCCCTGTTTTGAAAAGAGACATCCCCGTCTAGCAAAGAGACATCCCGTCCAGCAAAGAGACATTCCAACCAGCAAAGAGGCATCCCAAGCAGCAAAGAGACAGCCTGTATAGCAAACAGACAGCTCGTCCAGCAAAGATACAACTCATCCAGCAGAGACATCCTGCCCAGCAAAGAGACAGCTCATCCAGCAAAAAGACAGTCCATTCAGCAAAGAGACAGCTCAAACAACAAAGAGACAGCCCATCCAGCAAAGAAACAGCCCATCCAGCAAAGAAACAGCCTGTCCAGCAAAGAGACAGCTCATCCACCAAAGAGACAGCCCATCCAGCAAAGAGACAGCCCGTCCAGCAAAGAGACAGATCATCCAGCAAAGAGACAGCCCGTCCAGCAAAGAGACAGCTCTTCCAGCAAAGAGACAGAGTTTAATTGAGGGCTACAAGAATACTGTAGATCCTTGGTGTACCTGATTGTCTCTGAACTAATATCTACTTGAGCGCTTAGGTAAAACTTTTTTGCCTTATTGGTGTACAGGCAATGGGAAGAAAAAGGTCAGCTGGAAGTAAATGTCTATCTCCATTGAATTTGTATGTTCGCCCTATGCTGAGTACTTAAAGCACAACTTTACTCATAACGACTTGATAAAACATAATGTTCTTGAGCAAGGAACATACATTCCACAATATTAATTATGCTACCAAAATTAGTGTGTGCTATAAATTACCTCCAGTACTGCTCCTGTTTCTTCTTGCTGGAGGCTGCCATTTTGCTGAAGCCCTGAGCAGTAGTAAAGCTATAGGCTGTCAGCAGATCAGCCTCTACACAGTGCGGTAAAAACAGGTGGTTGAGCTGTAATTTTACCTCCCCTGACAGCCCATCTATAGTCTACAATACAGCCAGAGAGGGCTCTTCACATGCCACAGCCATGATGCTTTTTGTTGAGCAGGTTGAGTTGACAGGCAGCACATCTGTAAAACTCATCCATTTACAGTAATTCAATTGGGCTGTGCCCCAAAAAAAAAAAAAAAAAAGTCTGTCAGGATTGCCTCCTTAATGCCTAAGAGCAGCTGCCTAACTACAAAAAGTATTTCACCAGGGATTGCTTTTCAGAGAATGGGCTAGTGTGAAAGTAGGTTTGCAAATAACCGAAGCAAAACAGAAAGAGGGAAAAAATGGGTACATTCTAAAACAGGGTTCTCCAAACTACTGAAACAAAGGGTCAGTTAACTGCCCTTCAAATATTAGCGGGGCCGGACTATGGCCAGCAGGAGTAGAAAATTCCTTGGCACTAGTGGGAATAAACAATGCCGTAGGCTTGGTGGTCAATAGGAGTAAAAAATATTACATCACTGGTGTCAGTGAGAGGAATAGTACCCATCACTGGTGTGAGTTGGAGTAATAATCCCCTATCATTGGTGTCAGTGGGAGGAATGGTGCCCCATCATTGATGTCAGTGGGAGGAATGGTGCCCCATCATTGAAGTCAGTGGGAGGAATGGTACCCCATCACTGATGTCAGTGGGAGGAATGGTGCCCCATCATTTTTTATCAGTGGGAGAAATGGTGCCCCATCATTGGTGTCAGTGAGAGGAATGGTGGTGTCAGTGGGAGGAATGGTGCTCCATCATTGGTGACAGTGGGAGGAATGGTGCCCCATCATTGGTATCAGTGGGAGGAATGGTGCCCCATCTTTGGTGTCAGTGGGAGGCTAGTGCCTCCTATCAGTGGAATGAATAGTGCCCCAAGGGCCGGATAAAGGTAAGGAAAGGGCCACATCCGGCCCATGGGCTGCAGTTTGGAGACCCCTGTTCTAAAACAGTAAATGCTTCAGATAACCGTGATACAGCATATACTGTATATACGCAATGCAAAACCAGGCTTATAAAGGCTTTTTGCATGTTGACAGTTTGATGCCATTTATTCTGTAACCAACTGAATGAGTCACATGGAAACCTTTATTAAGCCCCAAATTTGGTTTTTGAAAACGGCTGCAGATATGATAAGGGGTGAGACTGGTGCAATCAGAATCTGGTGCAGCTGTGCATGGTAGCCAATCAGCTTCTAATTTCAGTTTGTTCAATTAAACTTTGGCAACAACACCTGGAAGCTGATTGGTTTCTATGCAGACCTACACCAGATTTTCCACACTCTAGCTTTAGTAAATAACCCCCACAGTGTCAGTCAGTTACCCCCATTTAACACATCTTTTCTATTTCAGCAGACAATTCAAGCATTTCCACTTCCAGCCTGCCTTGACATTTCAGCTGGTATGCAGGAAACTATAAAAAAAAAGTTTTATGTAGATGGATAGATAAATCAGCCTTAGTTTTTGTGAAGCTCCCTTGGTTTTCATTAGGGGTTTTAGTATGCCAGCTGTAATGCGAAAGTCATTAGTGTTCATATTAACTTAATGTTTATTGTTCCTGACTACAAGGACTTCTGTGTCCTGCGTAATGTTTACTAACTTCATTAAATGAATAATTTCTGTCAGCACGTTCCGAGCAGCCTAGGCAATGACCCACATTCTTTGTGCATTAAACTACTGTCACAGAACAGAGCTGAGCGAACGTTATGAGCCAGATAATTATAAAATTGTCTTTTCTAGACCTGAGGTTCTTATCTTCCAATGTTTTATTAACGGGGATGCAATTTCTGTTTATTGCTTGCATCATTGCAAAGAGGTCAATCTTTCCACTATTGTCTTTCCAAAGAATAGGAGGGTTGTGTTGCCAAATGTTCCTACATATTTAATTACATATTCCACAATATTTTCCACCTTAGTATGCTTTGTTTTGTCTACTTTGAGTTATAACTGGGAGGTTAAGACACTGAAAGGCCTGGAAGAGTCTGTTGCCTGTGCTCTGTTGTGAATATTGAGTCTTGACGGATGTATCAAGGCACATAAAGTGTGTATTTGGCTCAAGCTGTTGATATTTTATTCATTGCTGAAAGATGCTTGTAAGTTCAGATTTTCGGTTCTGGAACAGAATTTTAGACAAAAATGTTTCTATTACCTAGTTGCAAATTCAATCGATGACTTCTTTTTAGATAAACAGAGAGCACGGCGGTGAAGCAGAGAAAGGATAACTTGATAGACAGGTGATTAACACCCAGTTGTGAACGTATTCACCATGGCAAGAGTCAAAAGTATGTATTAGAAAAAGTGCAGAAAGACTCGAAAAGCTCTTATTAGAGAAAAAAATTTGAAAATGTGTCCCTGGGGGTTTTAGCCCCGAAATATATAATAAACTTTGATGGGATTGAGGGATACATGGGATGCCCAAGGAACTGTTGAACTGAGGACAACTTCCTGGAACTATGCTCAGAAGGGTTTCTCTTCCTTGAAGAGCTATCCAGCATCTCCTGAGGTTTCCACCTCAGACCCCAGATGAAATCTCCTTTTCACCCAGCTGCCTGAGGGAATCCCTGGACAAAGGGGACCCAGAATTTGCCACTTGAAGATCGGCAGTCTCAGATGGGGGCTAGTCAGGCTTTCCATCAGAATTTCCACCTCCCCTTAGCTGGCCCAGGGGGTGTGGGATTACTCACTCAGTTCTCTCCTGCAAGCATATGGATGGTGGCTGCCTTCAGGCTTTATGCTGGGCTGGCTCCTTCCCTGCTTCCCAGGCTGTCCTCTGTCAGGGGACAGTTGAGGCTGAGAGATCCTCCCTTCCAGCTACTCTGCCTGTAGGTAGGGCCCTCTCCTGGACCTCCTCCCAGGCTTCATACTAAATTCTTCTCAGTCCACTTGCCACCAAAACTTTCCTGCTGCTGAGCAAGCTCAGTCACTCTTAAGGGCTGTCCTGACCCCAGGCCAAGCCTCCTGCTCGAGTATTGGTCAAAATCTCTTAAGAGTGCAGACTAGCTCGTCATCACTCCCGCCCAGGGGCGGACTGACCATTCAAGCACTCAGGCACTGCCCGAGGGCCCGGGGTCAGTAGGGGGCCCCATGAAATGCCCCTGGTACCTTTTTTATAGGCTTTTTTTGAGTGTGGGCAAGGACACAGGGGCCCCATGATCCCCTATTGCCCGGGGGCCCCATGAGTTGTCAGTCCGCCCCTGCTCCATCCTACTGATTTCTAGAGACTTCTCCAAGTCTCTAGATCAGGAGGAAGTATCAGTGAGCTAATCTGCAGTACCTCTCAGCCCGACCCAAATTTGACCCTCTGACTATTTCTCCCAGGCTCCTTCTCAGCCTTCTAACTACAAAATATAATCGACTAGCTCCACCGAGCTTTCCTAGGAGGGTGATACACATCCATTTGTGAATAACTATTATGCAGTCAGGGTGCAAAAAGAAAACAATTGCAATTTGCATGCTGGAGAGCAGGACCGATGCGGTTTGGATATCCAGTGGTCTGACATGCCCCATGCACAGTACTCCAATCAACAACACTGCTTAGGAATTCTGTGTAGGGGGTGTGCAGGACCGCTGGAGCCCCAGATTGCTACTTTCTGGTTAATAAAGGTTACAACAGTTACCTTGGGGTGCCTGCTCTTAGGCAGGACTTTTTTTTTTTATTTGAATTGACTGGTCCCTTTAATGTTCTGTAAAAGTTTTATAATCTAGCACATCTTAAACAAAACATATGCACAGACTGAAAAATGCCAAACTTTTTTGTTTTCCTTCAAAACAGCCCCGGGTGATAGGTGATATTTTTAACTCAATTAAAAGGAGAATCCACCTCAAACACAAGAAATCCTAATGTATTTTACAGCTGTCGATTGTAGAAAAAAATATCAAGAAACCCGAACCAGCCAAAACGTTAGGCCAAAGATTTGCACAACAACCCTCTAAATGTGCATCTATGGCAATTATTACTCAGAAAGGGGTCTGGGTCTTGTAAATTGTCTGGCTGAGGTCCGAACTTCTCAGACTTGCTACACTTGCGGCAAGCTTCTGAAATAGTGTGGGTCAAATAAATAACACACACCAAAAAGGACAATGAATCAAACACCAATGAGGACTAGCAGAAGTCAGCTTGGAAAATAGAACATTTTTTATGCTAAGCTGATGGAAATTTAAATGATGTGTTTGGTCTTTTGTTTAAATATGTACAAAAAAATTTGTTTTCGTGGAGCTGTTTCAGCCTATAAAGGACAGAAAAGGCAGACTCGACATAAAACATTCTGGTGTTCTTGAACGCCCTAAAAAATACAATGATGTCACAGTGGGATTCGTTATCCAGGAATGGATATATCAAGGTAATTCTGACATTGTGCATACAGTGGGGGTGCAGGACAGATCCAAAACCTCATCAGTCCATTAGAGATCTGATTCTATATAGGATACATTATTTTAGAGTGGTGGTTCTCAACCCTTTTGAGACCAGGGCCTGGTAAAGTCTTTCCACAGCTTTCGTGCCTTAACTGAAAAAAAAATAATGTTTATTCTCTCACAATGAAAGTATGGAAATGCAAAACATGTATTGAAATGCTGGAAGTTTCTGGATGGGGCTGGGTGTCACTGTGTGTATGTATGTGTGTGTGTGTGTGTGTGTGGGGGGGGGTTAGTGGGTTAAGGGATTCTGCTGCAGACTTGGCGGCCCTGTAGGGGATGAGCTTTGTGGAGGAAGCTGGGGACACTGTGGGACACTGTTTGAGGTTGGTGCACTGTGGAGGGTTGGAGGTTCTGCAGCAAGTTGGGGGACTCTGAGGGAGGTTTGGGAGCACTGTGGAGGCTGAGGGCTCTAAGTGGACCTGGGGGCACTGTGGCCCACTATGGGACGTAGGGGGGCAATATGGGAGCTGGGAGACACTCTGGGAGCTTAAGGTACCTGCAGCTTGCAGAAGGCCCAGGAGAAGGGAGAACATGGCCTGGTAGTGTGCCACATCCTGGTGGTTGAGAACCACTGCTTTAAAAGATTTGATGACATCCTCAGACAAGGCACAAAAATCCATTACTGGATTAAAAATCCATTACTCTCTGTTGTTTTATGTTTAAGGACCAAAGTCTCACAACTTCTTTTCTTCTTATAGTCCTGAATGTTATAATTTTTAATTGCTTTTCACTTGCCAATGCCTTAAAACGCACTATACAGTGGTCACCTGCCTCATCACAAGCTCTCACTAGCAGCAGCCTTTGAAACTGCTTGTTGAATCTATTAATGTGAGTTTATTTTGGTAGCATGAACCTTTTTGGTTAGATATATGGAAACTGTCATTGTTAACCTGCTTTTGAAGTTTAGGCTGGTACTCTGATCTATATCCACCAATATATGAGCAAGCATGGGCATCTGTCATAATATCTAATTTGCACACACTTGTTCCTGGTCGATGTCTCACCAAGTATAACAATGACATCCCTGAAATTTGCCTCTTAAAACAAATTGAAACCACCTTGTATTTTATTCCACAACCGGTTAGAATTTTATAGCTGCCATAAATGTCAACTTTATTTTCTTTCCAACTGCAGCAATATTCTCTCTGCAGACAGGCATCTTCATTTCCCTGCTCCTACAATTTGTTCGTTGCCTCTTCAATAAGTCTTACAGCTTAAAATGTATCACTAATTCTATTGAGATAGGAAATCTACAATTTTTCAGTTGTCACTAGAACAGGGAAAGAGGGAAAATCTTCCAGTGGCATCCCACTCTGGTACCAACTCACATTTCCTGTAGTTTTTACATAACAGTAAGTGAAGGGAGTCTCCCCAATGGGACACAGACAGAAAAAAAAAAGATAGGTTTTTGAATCTATGCTAATAAAGAGAAAACTAAAAATAATTTATTTGAGTGTTCAGATGTACTTCAAACATTGTTACTTGGCCTTTTGGCTAAGATTTGTTCTTATCAGTTTTGGGGAGTGAGGACAGAGTACCTGCTATGCTGTCTAGTATTAGCCAGATATAATAAGGTGGGAACAGTGGAAGGGTCTTTTTCCTCTCAGGTTGATTCTGGTCTGGTGTCCTAATGCCTTCTTGGAAGGGATGGTGCTGCTCTGGCCAGGGGCTGGGCTGTGGAAGCCCATGGTGTATGTACCCCTGGAGTGGCAGTCCAGGGGGGTACTAGAAATTCTTATGCTGGGGGAGCTCACTTTTTATGACACAATGGTTACTGCACAATGGCTCATTCTTTTTCACACCTGCCTTCTAGGCTGGGCCTTTCAGCTGGGACTGGAGGAATTTCTATACCTGGCCAAAGGGCCTGCCATTGTATTGCGTAGTGACACTGAAGCATTTTTCTCCACATCCCCTTCCTTCTCTATGTTTGTATGATGGTTTTTTTTTTTACACATGCACAGGCACTTGCTCAGTCAAGACTGGTATGGTGGATTTGCCCTGAAAGTTTTGGGGGGAAACATGTGGCCAGGTTTTCCACCTCCCATATGCTTTCTCTTTGGGGGAGCCCCACCTAATACTTGGATAGGGCTTGCTTCAGCAGACCTCAAGAAGAAAGGGGTCTGCCTGGTTTCAGCTAGCACAAGTACCCCAGTTTCTGTCAGGAGCCTTGTGCCCCAGGGGATCAGGGCCAGGGTCCTTTCTCTTCAGAGTACACCCAGTGCACTTTTTTGTGTACTTTAAAATTACCCTGTGTCCTGTAGTGATGTAGGGGTTCAGTGGATAGAACCACAGAGCCCAACAGGGGACACAGGCATCTGACACAACTGGAAGTGAAGAATCTCAAAGATTCTGCTGCAGGCTGCTGCACTTCTATGGAGGGGATGTATGAGACATGTGTCATGGTGAGAGATGTGAATGGCTCTTCTACTCCAGGAATATGGCTTTAGGACTTTGCTGAGAACTGGCTCAGTCACTTTAGCGTCAGATTATAGGCTGAATGTTACAGTGTCCTTCATGTTTCTCCTTTGTAGTTTAGGACTACATATAAACTATGACGGAGCAACGCCAAGAGTCGTACTGTGACCACCAGCTTCTGATTACAAGTAGAAATTTAATAAAGACTGTTCTGAATATAGTTGGTAAACCACAGATGCAAGTTTTGATCAGTTTCAATTATGCTATTTTCTTTTTTTCTCTTGTTTTCCTGTGCTAGCATGATAGCCTTCATTAGAGTTCTGCAACTGATGAAACTTTGGCATCCGAACAGTCAAGGGTGATGTATCATGCTGAGCATGAAAGACAACAAAAATGCAATTGCAGGGGAATTAAAATGAAACCAGCAGTAAAAAGCATAAACACAACATATATGCAGCATGTAGTGTAAATAAAAAGGAAGAAGGAGCTATTGTGGAAAATCTGTCCAAAAATGCTATACAAAGGAAAATAAGATTACAAGACCAATATCTAGTCTGAAAGAAGACCAAATTAAAAAAAAGTGTTACTTTGTGTGTTACATTGTTTACGGGATTTAATATAACTGGAATTAACAGATGAGCTTTCAAAACACTCTGTATAAAAATGTCATCCCAGTCAAGAGTGATGTGTCATGCTAAACATGAAAGACAGAAAAGATGCAATTGCAGAAGGAATTAAAATTAAAAAGAAGTAAAGCATATAAACACAACACACATATTGCAGAATATAGTAAGAAGAATAAAAAAGTAGCAATTGTGGAAAGTTTGCAAAAAAAAAAAAAAAGAAAACAAAATTTCTATACAAAGGAAAGTCAGATTACAAGAACAATATCAAGTTTACAAGAAGACAAAATAAAAACAAAATGTTACATTGTTTACAGAATTCAATATAACTGGAATTTACAGATGATCTTGCAAAACACAATGGTGATGTGCCATGCCGAACATAAAAGACAGAAAAAAATGCAATTTCAGGGCAATTAGAATAAAACCATCAGTAAAAAGTTTAAACATTAAACACAACATATACTGTATAGTAGCATATAGTAAGAACCATAAGAAAAATTAATTATGGAAAATCTGTGCAAAAAAATGTTTTACAAAGGAAAATCAGATTACAAGAACATTATCTAGTCTGAAAGAAGACCAAATAAAAACAAACTGTTACATTGTTTACAGAATTTGTTATAACTGGAAATTACAGATTTTACCTTGCAAAACCCCATGTATGAATAATATGGCATCTCAATGCAATTGCAGGGGGATTAAAAACAAAGCTAACAGTAAAACACATAAATATAAACATATTTTGCAACATATAGTA